CCCGTCGTGGGCTCCCGCCCGAGAGTTCCTTCAGGAACTGCGCTTTCGCCTAGGACTTCCTCGAACGTTCACGCTCTTACCTTCCTGCTCCTCCTTCCTCTCCCTCCTCCCTCCTCCCCCCTCTCCTACCTTCTCTCTCCCTCCTCTCTTCCCTCATCCCTATGCCTCTCTGCCCTATCCCCTCTCACTCCTCTCCCTCCTCCCTTCTCCCTCCCCTCTCCTGCCTCCCCTCCTTTTTTTTTTTTTTTTTTTTTTTTTTTTCTCTCCCTCTCTCTCTCTTTCTCTCTCTCTCTCTCTCTCTCCCCTCTCTCTCTACCTCTCTTATCGTTTTTGTTGTTGTTATATACATATGTATATATATATATATTATATATATGTGTATCTGCCTCAATTCAACCGCCCCCCTCTTCGCTTCTTCTCTCCTGGCGTTTTCCCTCTTCCTTCGTCCCTCCCCCTCCCTTTCTCCCGCTCTCCCGCGTTCTCCCCTTCCTTTTTCTGCAGGGCCCACACCAATTTCAATGGCGGGCACATGTACGCCCACGAAGGATTGTCCGCCCGTTCAGGTTTGCCCGCCTGTCTAAGCCCGCCGCCCCCCGCAAAGAGAAATAATCCCTTCAAAGGGGGCGTGATTGAAGACAAGAAGGGCTGGTATCGAGGGTGTGGGGAAATCGTTTTGAAAGACACACGGCAAATAAAAGCGAACAGTCTTATAATGACTTGTTGTTGTGCTCTCATTTCTGAAGAATGCTTATTGTTGATTCCCCCTCACCGGTGCATGTGGTTTTTCTCAGTCAAAGTGTGCCCTTGACGCTCACACCTTGTTTTTTGTCAGGGGAAGTCTTCCTTGTCAAACTGTGCCCTTGGCCCCCGGGTTACAACAGCAACGGCTCCCGCCTAGGACTTCCTCGCAATTTAACCAGGGCCCCCGCTCCCGCTTGAGACGTCCTCGCATTTTATGCAGGAGTCGCGCTCTCCCTTTGGACTTCCTTGCCCTTTACTCAGGAATCGCTCTCCCGGCGCTCTGGAGTCGCGCTCTCGCTGGAGACTTGCTTGCAATTTACTGAAAAAGAGCGCCCTTGCGTTGGAATTTCTGGTAATTTACTGAAGCGCCGCGCACCTGACACTCAGGCACCCAGGAGTCGCGCTCACGCTTCGGACTCCCTCACAGATTATTTCGGAATCGGGATCTCGCTGCCCTTCGTGGTCCCGTTGCTGCCCTTGGTGGCCCCGTTGCAGCCGTTCGTGGCCCCCTCGCTGCCCTTCGAGGCCCCGTTGCAGCCCTTCGTGGCCCCCTCGCTGCCCTTCGTGGCCTCGTTGCTGCCCTTCGTGGCCCCCTCGCTGCCCTTCGTGGCCCCTTCGCAGCCCTTCGTGGTCCCCTCGGTGCCCTTCGTGGCCCCGTTGCAGTCCTTCGTGGCCCCCTCGCTGCCCTTCGTGGCCTCGTTGCAGCCCTTCGTGGCCCCCTGGCTGCCCTTCGTGGCCTCGTTGCAGCCCTTCGTGGCCCCCTCGCTGCCCTTCGTGGCCTCGTTGCAGCCCTTCGTGGCCCCCTCGCTGCCGTTCGTGGCCCCATATATGTATGCCCGTCGTGGCCCCCGATCGTTCGCGCCCGTCGTGGCCCCATATGCATGCCTTCGTGGCCCCGCCGTCGCCTTTCGTGGCCCCCTCGCTGCCCTTCGTGGCGCCGTTTCTGCCCTCAGTGGTCCCGTCCTTGCCCTCCGCGGCCTAGTAAACGTATGCCCTTCGTGGCCCCCGCTTGTTCGCGCCCGTCATGGCCCCATATGCATGCCCTTCGTGGCGCCGCTTTCGCCAATCGCGGCCCCCTCGCTGTCCTACGTGGCCCAGTTGCTACCTCAGTGGCCCCATCGTTGCCCTTTTTGGCCCCGCATTATCTGCCCTTGGTAGCCCCCTCTCCTTCGCGCTCTTCGTGGCCCCATACGCATTCGCTTCGTGTCCCCGCTGTCGCCGTTCGTGGCCTACCTCGTGCCCTTCGTGGCCCTGCTGTTGTTCTGTCTCGCTCTCGCTTGCGCTCGTCGTCGCCGTCGTCGACGTCGTCGTCGTCGTCGCCGTCGTTGTCGTCGTCGTCGACGTCGTCGTCGTCGTGGTCGGTCCCGTGTCCGTCCCTCTCGGGGTCGGGTTGCCGCCGATCAGCGCTGCCGCTGGCCAGGCCGACGGTCCGTGACCGCCCCGCCGCTTGCCGGGGCCCGGCTTGCAGGGAAGAACGGTATACCACCCAAAAGGGGTATGATCGAAGACGAAGAGGGCGGGTATCGAGGGTGTGGGAAATACGCGTTAACGGACACTCGAGCAAATAAGAACGAACAGTCTTAAACTGATTATTATTGTTGTGGTTGCTGTGCTTCATGTTGTTATTACTGTTGCATGGTGCTTATATAATGTTGTTTGTTGTCTGCTGTTTGGTGTTTGTGGTTTGATGATGCTTTTTGTTGTCTGTATTGTGTTTTAGGATCCCCCGTGTTTTGTTGTTTTTTTGTTTTTCGTTGTTTGTTGGTTGTCGTTGTGGTTGCTGCTGTTGTTGCTGGTGCTGTTGCTGTTGTTGTTGTTGTTGTTGTCGTCGTTGTTGTTGTTGCTGTAGTTGTTGTTGTTGTTGCCGCTGATGTTGTTGTTGTGGTTGTTGTTGATGTTGTTGTTGGTGTTGTTGTTGTTGTTGCTGCTGCTGTTGTTGTTGTGGTTGTCATTATTGTTGTCGTTGTTGTTGTTGTTGTTGTTGTTGTTGTGGTTGTTGTTGTTGTTGTTGTAATTGTTGTTGATGTTGAATTCCCACTTCTGGAAAATATTATTGTTGATCCCCCCGTCCGGTGCACATTGTTTTTTTCGATTGAAATGCTCTTCTCTGGGCTCGCACTCGGTTTTTTTATCAGGGAAAGTCTTGAGGGTCAAACTGTGTGCGACGACAGGGGCTCCCGCTCGACACGCCCTCGTAATTACCTTCTAGACGCCCTGGCCAGAGAGGCCCCCGACCCGCAGAGGCCCCAGCACGCTGCTCACTGAAGCCTTCGGACACAGCCGACAGAAGCTCCAAACGCGCCCACAGGGGCTCCAGCACGCTGCTCGCTGAGGCCCTCGGACGCAGCCCACAGACTCCCGCGCGCCCACAGAGGCTCCAGCACGATGCCCACTGAGGCCCTTGGACACAGCCTGCAGAGGCCCCAACACCGCCCACATAAGCCCCAGCCCACAGAGGCCCCAAGCGCGCCCACAGAGGCCCAGGCGCGCTGCCCACTGAGGCCCCCAACTCAGCCCACAGAGGCCAAGAGTAATCCCACAGAGGCCGTGGCACGCTGCTCGCAGGCCCTCCGGCACAGCTCACAGAGGCCCCAAGCGCGCACAGGCTCCAGCAGGCTGCCCACGGAGGCCCCCGACGAAGCCCGCAGAGGCCCCAAGCGCGCCCACAGAGGCCCCAGCGCGCTGCCCACAGAGGCCCCCGTGACAGCCCAGAGAGGCCCCAGCCCACTGGCCCCAAGCGCGCTCACGGAGGCCCCAGCGCGCTACCCACTGAGGCCCCCGACGCAGCCCACAGAGGCCCCAAGCGCGCCCACAGGCCCCAGCCCACAGGCGCCAAGCGCGCTCACGGAGGCCCCGCGCACTGCCCACTGAGGCCCCCCAGCACAGCCCACAGAGGCCCCAAGCGCGCCCACAGAGGCCCCAGGGCGCTGCCCACAGAGGCCCCAAGCGCGCTATCGCTCGAGACCTCCTCGCGATTCATACAGGACGCACGCTTCAACCACCCGCCTGCTCGACCTGGCCGCCTGGGCCCGCTTTCCAGACCCGCTTCTCAGGGTCTACCCACCCGATCTGCCCGTCTGGTTCTGCCACGTGTTTTCTGCTCCTAGCCCCCCTCCTGCTACTTTTTCTTTCGTGCTCCATTCTCCTCCCTCCCCCAGTCCCTTCCTTCCATGTGTCCTTTCTTCCCCTGCCTTCAGGACTGCACGAAATGCACGTTGCATGTCGGAAGGATATACCTCCAAGGGGGCACCATCGAAGACGAAACGGGCGGGTATCGAGGGTTTGGGGTATACGTGTTGAACGGTCCGCGAGCAGATAGGAGCGAACATTATGATTGTTGCTTTTGGTGCCGTTGTTGAGCTCTCAGTCTTGAAGAATAATTTGTGTTGTCCCCCCACAACTGGTTCACGTCTTTTATACAAAAAGGAAGGTCCTCCTCCTTTAACTGCGTTGTTGGACCCCGAGCTGCAACAACGTATTCCAGAATCGCGCTGTCGCGCAGGATTTCCCCCGATTGTATGCAGGAATCGCGCTCTCGCTTGGGACTCCCTCGCAATTTGTTCAGACGCCGCACCCTCGACACTCATGAATCACGGTCTCGCTTGGTCTTTCCGCCAGATATGCCAGTCTGGTTCTGCTACGTGTTTTCTGCTCGTAGCCCCCGTCCTGCTAATTGTAAGTCGGGCCTGTCCCTCTACAGGGGGAATATTCAGAAATAGTAGAAACATAGTCTGGGGATAATTTTTGCATATTTGTGGGCATCTTTTGAGTATTTTTCCCAACCATCCTGTGGTGTTGGGTCCTCGTTTTGAAGAGACGGTGCCCCGCGTTCCTCCTTCCTTCCTTCCTCCTCCCCCTCCTCCCTCCTCCCCCTCCTTGCCTCTGCTCTCGGCACACCTCTCACACGTTTCGTAGCCCCATAGGGAACTCCACCGAAGGCCCCAGTGGGGGTGTCCACATGCGGTTCCCCCACCCAGGGCAGCGTTTCGTAGTTCCAGAGGGAGCTCCACCGAAGGCCCCAGTGGGGGTGTCCACATGCGGTTCCCCCACCCAGGGCAGCGTTTCGTAGCCCCATAGGGAGCTCCACCGAAGGCCCCAGTGGGGGTGTCCACATGCGGTTCCCCCACCCAGGGCAGCGTTTCGTAGCCCCAGAGGGAGCTCCACCGAAGGCCCCAGTGGGGGTGTCCACATGCGGTTCCCCCACCCAGGGCAGCGTTTCGTGGCCCCATAGGGAGCTCCACCGAAGGCCCCAGTGGGGGTGTCCACATGCGTTCCCCCACCCAGGGCAGCGTTTCGTAGCCCCATAGGGAGCTCCACCGTAGGCCCCAGTGGGGCTGCCCTCATGCGGTTCCCCCACCCAGCACAGCGTTTCGTAGCCCCACCCAGGGCAGCGTTTCGTAGCTCTCCACCGAAGGCCCCAGTGGGGGTGTCCACATGCGGTTCCCCCACCCAGGGCAGCGTTTCGTGGCCCCACAGGGAGCTCCACCGAAGGCCCCAGTGGGGGTGTCCACATGCGGTTCCCCCACCCAGGGCAGCGTTTCGTAGCCCCATAGGGAGCTCCACCGAAGGCCCCAGTGGGGGTGTCCACATGCGGTTCCCCCACCCAGGGCAGCGTTTCGTAGCCCCATAGGGAGCTCCACCGAAGGCCCCAGTGGGGGTGTCCACATGCGGTTCCCCCACCCAGGGCAGCGTTTCGTAGCCCCATAGGGAGCTCCACCGTAGGCCCCAGTGGGGCTGCCCTCATGCGGTTCCCCCACCCAGGGCAGCGTTTCGTAGCCCCAGAGGGAACTCCACCGTAGGCCCCAGTGGGGGTGCCCGCATGCGGTTCCCCCACCAAGGGCAGCGTTTCGTGGCCCCACAGGGAGCTCCACCGAAGGCCCCAGTGGGTCTGCCTGCATGCGGTTCCCCCACCCAGGGCAGCGTTTCGTAGCCCCATAGGGAGCTCCACCGAAGGCCCCAGTGGGGGTGTTCGCATGCGTCTCCACTACCCAGAGGTAGCGCCGCCGAAAACGATATTCACACTTGCGGTATTCACAGTTGCATATGGTTGGGTCCTTCGCCAGGCTAATTTGGGTATTGTTCATCTTTCGTCCAAAATCCCCTTGTAGGGGGACAGGCCCGACTTAAGCGTAGCCCCCGTCCTGCTAATTCCGCTGGTGCCCCGTCGGCCTCCCTCCCCCTTCCATCCGTCCTCTCTTCCCCTGTTTTGGGGCTGCGCTGGACGCAGGTGGCAGGTAAGGAAGACATACCCCAAGGGGGGTACGATCGAAGACGAAGTGCGGGTACCGAGGGCTCGGGATATACGTGCTGAATGGTACGCGAGCGAATCGGAGACAGCAGTCTCAAAATGGTGGATTCCTTTTCAGCTCTGAGGAACCACTGTTGTTGGTCCCCCCCCTGCCCGGCCGCCCGTGGATTTTTGATAGAAGTGCTCCTGTAACTCAGAGCGTGACTTACCTACCCCGCTTTCGCTTCCAGGCAAAACCAAGTCATACCATACGCCTCCTCGTCAAGCGGCCTGACCAGTACACATGCCGCAGTTTGGCCTCGCTCGGCATCTCTTGGAAGCGAGGGTGGTCAAAAGCGAGGTATAGGTCTGTTTGCCCCCTGGTAACGAAGCCAATCCGAGGCGCCCGCGCCTCGTGGCGCCGCTTCCGCGGCGTGGGGCCCCCCCCGGGCCGCGCGCCGGGAACAAACAACAGCAGGAGCGTGCGCCTCCCCCCGGCCAGGCCGCGGGAGGTGCCCGCGCCGCCCCCCCGAGGGGGGCCGGCGCCGGCGTGCCGGCTCGGCGTGAAGGTTGCCCCTGCCCTCTCCCCATTCCCCCCCCTCCCCCTCCCCCCCTCCCCCCCCCCCTCCTTTCCCCCCCGTCTCCCCCCCCCTCGCCCCCTCTCCCCCCCCATCGCCCCCTCCCCCCCTTTCCCCCCCCCCTCCCCCCTCCTCGACGATCACACCACCCGAATACTGCTCTCCTCCCCTCCCCTGATGACGTCCGTGAGATATCTGGCCCCTCTCCGCGTGTTGTTTTTTATTACACATCGGTTTCCCGGGAACTGTTTTTTCGATTGATTTTTTGGTTTCGAAATCTTGCTCCCGCTGAAACGCTGGCCTCATTTTCGGGCTTCCGTTCGTTCCGCATCGTGCTATTGCTGCAGCGCTGGCTTTATTTCCGTGCATCCGCTCGTTCCGAATCGGGCTCCCGCTGCATCGTTGGCTTTCCTTCCAAACCGGCCCCAAAATCTAGAAACTGCCACCCCGATAAAAACATCGTAAGTGATTACGCAATCAGTGTCGATTCGTTGATTTGTTTGCCGCAACTGCCATTTTGGGGGCGTCGTTGCTTTCAGGAAGTATCAAGCGGGAGCCCCGTTTCTGCTTTGAGATGGCGGGTATTCTCCATCATCCCCGCATTGTGTGGAGCCTTTCGAGGAGCCCAAGGAGGTAGACATGGAGCCACGACTCTAGACCGGCCCAGACCTTTCGAAGACGATCCAATTGACCTCCCAAAGAACTTGGCGCCATGCCATGACATGCTGTGCGGTGTTGTGTTTCGCGCCGCTGTGCGATGCCATGCTTTGCGTTGCAATGCTTTGTGATGCAATGCTTCACTGCTCAATGCTCAATGTCACGCCATGCTATGGCATGCTACGCTTTGCCGTGCTCTTCTCCGCCGTGCCATGCCCTGCTCTACCATGCATCGCGTACCCTCTCGCGATCATTGCCCTGCTCGACATCCGACTGTGCGAATAGAGAGGAGACCGCCATGGTAAGGGATGGGAGGGAGGGTAGGACGTCAGGTATGACGCGAACGTTCCTAGCTTGCCCCCCGTCCCATCCCTCCCCCCTCCCAGGTTACCAGCAGCTCACGATGCTCGTGAAGGCCCTGCGCGGTCGGCCGAATCGGAGGGCGGAGGAAGCGGCGCCAGCACCACCAGCAGGCGTGCCTTTTGAGCTTCCTTGGGTTGAATATTGGAGGCGTTTTGAATCGGGCGTCCAAGGCTAGCAGCGCCACGCCACCGTGCGGAGCTTCCTTTGCTTTTTGGCCTTGGTGGTGTTGGTGCTGTGCTGTCTTTCTTCGTTCCAGTGGAGGGGGGGGAATATCAAACGGAAGGGAAGGGAACGAACCGGGTGTAGTCATCTGAAATGATTCAACTTGATCCACCGAGATGACTCATCTCGTTGGATCAAGGACGCCCCAGGGAGGAGGCGGGTGGAGGAGGGGGGGAGAGGAGACAAGGAGGAGGCAGGGAGGAGAAGATGGAGGACGAGGAGGAGGAGCAGGAGAAGGAGGAGGAGGACGCGGTGGTAGAGGAGGAGGAGGAGGAGCAGGAGGAGGACGAAAAGGATAATGATCATGATGATGATGATGACGATGATGATGATGAGGAGGAGGAAGAGGATGAACATGATGAGGAGGAGGCGGAGGAGGAGGAGGAAGAGGAGGAAGAGGAAGAATAACAACAGCATGAATATGCATTGCTACGAATATGTATATGATTTGTAATACAGGTAATACTAATATGACCAATAAGAAGACTTTCGTACTGATACTACCAATCATCGTATTCTAAATAATGAGAATATTCATCGTATCATAGATAATAGTAGCAGTAATAGGCCTACTCAGAATAATACGAAGACGCACCATACTAACAATAAACATCATACGTATACGAAGACTGCTAAGACGCTTTATAATAACACAGCAATAGGAATACCACTACTAATGATGGTGACACTCGTTCTAGTTTTATGAGTATACATAGTTCTACTGCCAATACCAATACGAATGTCACGAACACGTTTACTAATGACAGTAGTTTTAACACTAATCGTACTAATGGTACTAATACTATTATTAATATTACTAATAACCATGCTCATACGCATAATCATTGTACTAATATTAGCATTGGTAATTTTACTACTAGTGATGATGATGCTGATGATGATGGTGATGATGCTGATGCTGCTGATGCTGATGATACTACTTCAAATAATACCAGTGTGAATAGTGCTAATACTACTAATAGGAGGAATAGGAGGAAGAGGAGGAGGAGGAAGAGGAGGAAGGGGAGGAGGAACATGAGGAGGAGGAGGAGGGAGCGGAGGAAGAGGAGGAGGAAGATGATGATGATGCTGATGATGATGATGACGATGATGATGATGATGATGATGATGGTGGTGGTGGTGGTGGTGTTGATGGTGATGATGATGCTGTTGATGATGATGCTGATGATGATGAGGATGATGCTGATGATGATGAGGAGGAGGAGGGGGAGGATGAATAGGAGGAGGAGATGGAGGCTGAAGAGGAGGAGGAGGAGGGCTATTATCATCATTATTATTATTAGTAGTAGCATTCTTAGTATTACTATCAGTATCATTAAACAGAAAACGACGAAGACGAATAATAGTAGTAATACTTCGCCGCTACGAAAGTTCGGCCAAAATTCAACGCCTCCCGTTAAGCGACGGGGCCCCAGTACAACGTTGGCAGTGGACCCGTTAGGCCGCGGGGCCCCAGTACAGTGTTCGGTTGAAGCATTTTTCGCTCCAGTCTCGGGCGGCACCGCCCTTTCGAAATCGAGCCCGCGGGTTTCGAAATCCAGTCGAGCTCGTTTTGGGGAGGATGTCCTAGGCGAAAGCCACTTTTCGAAATCGAGCCCGAGGGTTTCGAAATCCAGTCGAGCTCGGGAGGAAGCCCTAAGCGAAAGCTGCATTTTCGAGTTTTCGGTTCAGGGCTTTTAGAATTTTAAATGCCAAGCGGTGTGGCCATTTCGAAACGGCGGTTTCGCTTGATACTTCCTCGAACAAAAACGATTTCGAACGATTTCGAAACTTTCGGGTTCGATTTCGAAATGGCGCTCCCGCCTAGGATTTCCGCAAACATGGAATTCGAAACCTTTCTGCTTCGATTTCGAAATGGCGCTCCCGCACAGGACTTCCTCAAAAATAGAAGTCGAAACCTTTCTGCCTCGATTTCGAAATGGCGCTCCCGCACAGGACTTCCTGCAAAATGAGGTTCGGAATTAGTTCCGTTCGAACTCGAAATGGCGCTCCCGCCCAGGACTTCCTCCAAAACAGAAATCGAAACCTTCGGGTTCGATTTCGAAATGGCGCTTCCGCCCAGGACTTCCTCAATCAAGACTACGATCAGAACCGCGACCACGACCACGACCACTATGACGACGACGACGACGACGACGACGATGAAGACGACGACGACGACGACGACGACGACGACGACGACGACGACGACGATGACGACGACGACGACGACGACTACGACGACGACGGCGGTTACGACGTTTACATGCGCTCTCGCCCGAATGCCGGCCACTCCTTAGTTCTCGCCTCACCGCCGGCCAGTGTCTAGGTCTGGCCGACCGCTCTCTGGGGTGGCGCCCGGAGAGGCCCCCGGTGCGGCGCTGGCCCCCTTCGGAGGGGGGGACGAGCCGGGGGGAGACCCGCCCCCCCCCCTTCAAGGGGGGGACCCCTTGGGGGGAGATATTGCTGTCACCCCCAAACAGGCACATTTTTGAAAAGGACCCGCCCGTTTGGGCTGCTTCCGCTTGGGCCGCCTGATCTACCCCATTTCCTATTGGAAAACCAATATGTTTTCCAATCGTTTTCCGGGTTCCGGCCTTTTCTGCAAAATCGTGTTTTTTTGTCGTTGCGACCCCAGCCCGGAGGCCGAATCCAAGAGGTAAAATACGACTCATCCGCCCGTTTGGGCTGCTATTGCTTGGGCCGCCTGATCTACCCCATTTCCTATTGGAAAACCAATATGTTTTCCATTCGTTTTCCGGGTCCCGGCCTTTTCTGCAAAATCGTGCTTTTTTTGTTGCGACCCCAGCCCGGAGACCGAATCCAAGAGATAAGGCACGACTCATTTTGACTAGTTCCGCTTGTGGTCACATTCTCGGCTCCTCTCCTCTCCTCCTTTGGTCAGTCATCGTAGGCACGGGGGTGCTAGCGTCAAGGTGAGTATCGGCGCTCGGCTGCTCATAGGTTCTGTGGTGCTCTCAGGTTTTGGAGTCATGCTCACGGCCGTCGTGGTGTTCATAACCAATGTGATGCTCAGGCGTTGTTTAGCTGAAAACGCAAACCGGGTCAACCTTTTTTTAGCGCCGATGTAATGGCAGTAAGAATATTAATGCGGACGAAGAAGAACACTGATATGCATAATGATAAGGGGAGGAGGAGGAAGAGGAGGAGGAGGAGGAGGAGGAGGAGGAGGAGGAGGAGGAGGAGGAGGAGGAGAGGAAAAGGCAAAGCCTCACGGGAGCCTCTTCTCCTGGTGGCTCCCCATGGTGCCTTCCAAGGGCCTCTGAGGGGCCTCTTAGAGCCCCTGGGAGTCTCTTTGGAGTCTCCTGGGCAGTCTCAGGGCTTTCTTGGCCCGTCTGACGGGTCCGAAGGCCGTCGTTGGAGCCTTTCTGGGCCCTCCTGGGGTTTTCGGGGCTGTCTTGGGGGATGGTCTGGACCCCACATGTTCAAACAAGCAGCTGAGAACACAGAGGATGCTGGCAGTTTGGGGCCCCGCTGGGGGTCCTCGTGTGGCCCTCCCGGGCAGCCCTGGGGGCCTCTTGCGGCCGTCTTGAAGGCGATCGTGGGTCGCCTCGGGGCCGTCCTGGCCGTCTTGGAGGCGCTCTGGGCCATCGAGGGGGCCCGGGTGTCCTGCCTCGGCCGCCTTGTAAGCTCCAGAGCGCGAATCCCACCGCGGAGCTCTTCCACGCCTGAGCGCCCTCTCTCTCCACCCTTCGCGCGGCCGCTCTCGTCTTGGCCTCTTTCTTTCTTTCTCTCTCTCTCTCTCGCTCTTGCACGCCGGACAGTGTGCCTGCCGGCTGCCCCGGTATCAGCCCCGCGCTGGTGCGGGTTGTCTCTGTCTGCCTCGCCGCCAGCGAAAAACAAATTCCTTTACAGTGGATCGCGGCCTCGGGGTCGCGGGTCCAAGGCTTTCAGCGGATCGTGGCTTCGGGAGCGCGGGCCCTTCGCTTTGGGAGGGGTCGCGGCCTCGGGGGCGCGGGCCCATGCTTTTCCCAACCATCCTTCGGTGTTCGGTCTTCGTTTTGAAGATACAGCGCCCCGCGTTCACTCCTCCCGCTGCCCTCTCCCTCCTCCCCCTCCTCCTCCTCCTCCTCCCTCCTCCTGCATTTCACCTCCTCCTCCTCCTCCCTCCCTCCTCTCCTCCTCCTCCTCCTCCTCCTCCTCCTCCTCCTCCTCCCCCTCCTCCCGCTGCCCTCTCCCTCCTCCTGCATTTCACCCACCCAGTACAGCGCTTCGTGGCCCCATAGGGAGCTCCGCCGAAGGCCCCAGTGGCAGGGTCCGCATGCAGTTTCACCTCCATATCGGCGCACCCCTCACACGTTTCGTAGCCCCATAGGGTGCTCCGCCCAAGGACTCAGTGGCAGGGTCCGCATGCAGTTCCACACCCCAATTTCGACGCACCCCTCGCACGCTTCGCATAGGGTGCTCCACCCAAGGCCCCAGTGGCAGGGTCCGCATGCAGTTCCACTTCCATTTCGGCGCACCCCTCGCACGCTTCGTGGCCCCTTATGGTGCGCCGCCCAAGGCCCCTGCAGCAGGGTCCGTATGCAGTTTCATGTCGGCGCACTCCTCACAAGTTTCGTGGCCCCATAGGGTGCTCCGCCTAAGGACCCTTTGGCAGGGTCCGCATGCAGTTCCATGTCGGCGCACCCCTCACACGTTTCGTGGCCCCATGGGGTGCTCCACCCAAGGCCCCAGAGGCAGGGTCCGCATGCAGTTTCACCTCCATGTCGGCGCACTCCTCACACGTTTCGTGGCCCCATAGGGTGCTCAGCCCAAGGCCCCAGTGGCAGGGTCCGCATGTAGTTCCACCCCCATTTCGGCGCACTCCTCACACGTTTCGTGGCCCTATAGGGCCGCCGAGGGCCCCAGTGGCAGGGTCCGCATGCAGTTCCACCTCCATGTCGGCGCACCACTCGCACGCTTCGTGGCCCCATAGGGTTCGGCGCACCTTTTCCACGTATCGTGGCCCCCAAAGGCCCCAGCTGCAGGGTCCTCATGCAGATCCGCCTCCATGTCGGCGCACCTTTTCCACGTTTCGTGGCCCCACAGGGTGCTTCGCCGAAGGCCCCAATGGCAGGGTCCGCATGCAGTTCCGCCTCCATGTCGGTGCACCCCTCGCACGCTTGGTGGCCCTATAGGGTGCTCCGCCCAAAGCCCCTGCAGCAGGGTCCGCATGCAGTTCCAGCCCCATGTCGGCGCACTCCTCACACGTTTCGTGGCCCCATAGGGTGCTCCGCCCAAGGACCCTTGCAAGGTCCGCATGCAGTTCCGCCTCCATGTCGGCGCACCCCTCACACGTTTCGTGGCCCCATAGGGTGCTACGTCGAAGGCCTCAGTGGCAAGGTCCGCATACAGTTCCACCCCCATTTCGGCGCACCCCTCGCACGCTTCGTGGCCCCATAGGGTGCTCCACCCAAGGCCCCAGTGGCAGGGTCCGCATGCAGTTCCACTCCCATTTCGGCGCACCCCTCACACGTTTCGTGGCCCCACAGGGTGCTCCGCCCAAGGACTCAGTGGCAGGGTCCACATGCAGTTCCACACCACAATTTCGGCGCACCCCTCACACGTTTCGTGGCCCCATAGGGTGCTCCGCACAAAGACTCATTGGCAAGGTCCGCATGCAGTTCCACCCCTCAATTTCGGCGCACCCCTCGCACGCTTCGTGGCCCCATAGGGTGCTCCACCCAAGGCCCCAGTGGCAGGTTCCGCATTCAGTTCCAGCTCCATTTCGGCGCACCCCTCACACGTTTCGTGGCCCCATACGGTGCTCCGCCGAAGGCCCCAGTGGCAGGATCCGCATGCAGTTCCACCCTCATTTCGGTGCACCCCTCACACGTTTCGTGGCCCCATAGGGTGCTCCGCCCAAGGACTCAGTGGCAGGGTCCGCATGCAGTTCCACACCCCAATTTCGGCGCACCCCTCGCACGCTTCGTGGCCCCATAGGGTGCTTCACCCAAGGCCCCAGTGGCAGGGTCCGCATGCAGTTTCACCTCCATATCGGCGCACCCCTCACACGTTTCGTAGCCCCATAAGGTTCTCCGCCGAAGGCCCCAGTGGCAGGGTCCGCATGCAGTTTCACCCTCTATTTCGGCGCACCTTTTCCACGTTTCGTGGCCCCCAAAGGCCACAGTGGCAGCGCCTGCAGGTGGTTCAACCCTGCATGTCGGTGCACCTCTCACACGTGTCGTGGCCTCAGATGGGGCTGCACCGACGGCTCTGGTGGCAGCGTCCGCATGGCGTACCCGTGCCAATTTTGGCACACCCGTCACACGCGTCGTGGCCCCGGAGAGAGGTTCACCGAGGACGAGACCCACAATTGCGTTATACACAGCTGCACATGGTTGGGTCCTTCGCCCGGTTTTTGTTGCTTTACAGAGCGGATCGTGGCTGGGGGAAGGCAGATCCATACTTGCTCAGCAGGGAACCGTAAACGGAGGGCAACGCGCGCCAGTGAGCACGGTGTGAGTTGAGGTGCCTTAGATTATCTAGAGGCATGTTGTCAGACAGCAGCCCTTGTCATGTGATCGTTTTCTTTTTCGTTGTTTTGCCAATTGGCGCGGGCTCTCGCACCCCCCCTCCCCCCATGGAGTAGATCTTGGCTGTTTTTGGCGCCTGTTTCGAGCAGATGGAGTCTCCCCCATAGGACGCAGTGCTGCAGACAGCCAGACCCCCCCCCTCTCCCCCCCCTCCGCCCAATGTCGAGACGCCGAAAAAGACAGGTTCACCACGGCACCACGCCTCAACATGCCAGAGGGTCACGGCGGCGGTACGTGGGCTCCGAAGGTTTCCAGGCATTTCCGCGTGGCTCTCGGGGACTCGAGGAGGGAGCATCGCACGAAGTGCCTACGACGGGCGCCCGTGCAGCACGTCTGCTGAGGCATTGCTGACCGTCCGCGCTAGATGTAGGTCGGGCGTGTCCCTCTACAGGAGAAATTTTTTAAACATGGTCAAACCTAGCCTCGGGACGATTTTCGATTATTTTTTGACTTTTGTTGTTGTTGCTGTTGTTGTTGTTGTTGTTGTTGTTGTTGAGTTCTCATTTCTGAAGAATAATTATTGTTGATCCCCCCACCGGTGCATACTGTTTTTTCTCAATCAAAGTGTGCCCCTCGACGCTCGCACCCTGTTTTTTGACAGGGAGAGTCTTCCTGCTCAAACTTGCCCCCTGGCCCCCGGGTTACAACAACAACGGCTCCCGCTTGAAACTTC